AGTGTATTCGAGCTCCTTTCCTTCAGTGCCCGGCGGTTGTCGCTGGGTCTCCGTCCGTCGCCGTGTGAGATATTTATTTGACCGAGGAAATCTCGCATTTTCCCCACCTCGGGAGCGGGCAGGAGGCTGGGGAAAGGCGGCCCCGGCGGGTCGGGCAGCGGGGCTCCCCCTGCCCCCTGCCCCGTCCGTGGCCCCTGCCCCTTCGCTGGGTCCGTACCCCCTCGGAATGTGTTTTTTATTCTAGCGCATTCCAGGGTATATCTCCCCAACTTTTCCTCGGGACACTACCGCAAACTCACCACGTGCTATTTGAAATTCCCCAGAGATTTGGGTATAGTTAGTGCGGTAAAACTTCCCTGGCTAACTTCGGCTCCTGAGCGCTGGGCTGTCACAGCATCAGAGGGGGAAGAGGAAATTTCTCTGTACGTTTTCGTCTTCGCATTTATTTTTTTTTAACGTAATGAAATTAAAACTTTTAGAGCTCACAGTTGACATTTTGCAGAAAATTGAGTTATCAAGGCAGTAATTATTTCACAGGGAGATAAAACTCTCGTAGCCCTAACTGTCAAATAGGACCCTTTTCAGATTTTAATTACAAAATAAAATTAGTCTGCTCTTCCTCGGAAGGGTTTGTGAGTGGCTAAACAGAGCTTTCCCCAATACTGGTGGTCGTCAAACTCTGCTAATTAGCAATGCTGAGAAATTCCAGTTAACAAGGACATTCTCTAAGTCTCTGCAGGTTCCCTGCCGTTCGCCTTCATTTCCATAAGAAGATTAAGAGTGGAGGGGAACACACTCAAATGCAGATGCAGAAAAGAAGCGTTTTTAACAAGCATCATAATAGTAAGATGCTTGGCTAGTTCTCACCTAATTACTGCAAGTTAAACCTCTATTTGCAGCTAAGGACAAAAAATGGAGCTGCAATCTCCCATCTCCACAAGACTGCTTAATAGTTTGCTTTAGATTGGTTACTAGTAGGTTCAGGAAAAAAATAATATGAAAATGTGTATATTCTTCCCGATAGAGTTAACACGATAGGTTATATCCTTAGGGCTCTTAGAGAATTCGGCGTGTATTAGAACAATAAATACATAAAATCCAAGTAGTTAACATTCATTTTCTTTTTAAGAAACTCATAACCTGGAAATAAGAGTGCGTGTGCCGCAGAGCCCATCACTGAGAACGTTTGCAGACTATTTGTTTAATGTAAGCACTTTTCATTTCCATAAATTATACCAAAGGCAACGGGTTTTTAAATCCACTCAGATTAAACCACCCCTCCGCAGGCCTCCCTTCCAACGTGGCTATATTCTTCCATAGAGTGGTGGTGGTATTGTCATTAATACAGAAAACTCGGGGACCATTTCCTTTTTTTTTGGTTTATAGCCGGCATCCCGGTCCCTCTCTGCTTCCGCCCCTCTGTGTGTGTGTACATATTCCCCGCCACGCACACCTCCATACCCAGAGGAAAGGGAGAAAATGCCCCCAAAGAGCCATCGCCTTCACCTTATTTTCTGTAGTGCATTATTATGTATATATGCCAGGTAGTTTATTGCATCGATAATTAAAACAGTTAATTAAAATAGAGCTGTAAGTACTCCCGATAACACAATTGCTAGGCATTTCCCATCCTTTACTCGTACGGTAAATCTAATTAGGAAAGGGCCCGGCCCCGAAAGGCCTCCAGCGTGCGCAGGGCAGCCCACGCCGCCCTGGTCCTGCGTGGAGCCCCGGGCCGCGCACCCCACGCACCTCCTGCAGCTACAGCCGGAGCAAAAATAACACTTCGCCTGTGCACCACCAGCCCTCAGTTATCAGTTTATTACGATGAGCAAACACCACCACCACCCACCCACCCCCTTTTTTTTTTTTCTTCAAACTTAATTATCCCTAAGAGGTTTTTTTGGAATAACGTTATCAACCGCAGACCAAAGGGAGAACAATAAGAAAGTAAACAGCCGCCGTGCCCTCAGGAGTGCCTGGACAATCAGAATCCCTTTATATCCCACATCTCGTAATTTGCACCTATTTTTCGACGGTTTAACCTATCACTTATCTACGGGTTATATATACATTTTCGAATTAAACACATTAAACCCGATAGGATTTATTTGCATAATCCACACACAGAAAAAGATGCACCCTCGTTCGCTGGCGGTTTTTTATTATTATTATTTAGATTGGGTGTAATTGCCTGGTCCCTTCCCCCCCGCCCCGGCTCCCCGTCCC